CCGCGGCACGCACCAGGGCCAACGGGGGCGGCCTGGTGAGCCGAAGGGCCAAGGACGGGGAGGGCAAATGCACCCCAAGCCCTGACGCAAAAACTGTGCAAAAAGAAAGGACGCCCCTGAGCGACGGTCACCGCCGGGGAGGCATCACCCCACGGCCGTCCGAGGGCCTCCTCTGGCGCCGCCTGCGGCGACAGCGCGGCGACGAGGCGCGGCATATGCGAGCAGCGGGAGCGGAAGCCTCCTCCGGAGGGAGGCCGTCTGCGGCCCTCCCGCGGGGGCCTCCCCCGGGGTTGTCGGGGGGCCGTCTTGGGGCTCTCCTGTGGTACAGTATTCGGCCTGACCCAGGGAACGATGAACAAGGAACGAAGCCCTTTTTCCAAAGTAAATCTAGGAGGTCCGATGGAACACCAGGGGTGCTCGCCGCCAAAAAGGTAGCGGAACGCAGGCAAACCAAAGGCACGACCGAGCTCCGTTTGAAAAGCAAGCGCTCCTTGGTCAAGCCGCACCCTGTACTCTTGGGGCGCTTGCTTGCGCTCTTTGGCTCCGCCGACGACCTGCGGCACCGAAAAAGGGGAGCCCGGAAATGCAAAGAAAAAACGCTTTGACGATCCAAATGCCGTTTGTTCCCCGATGCCTCCTGAAGGCTCCTTGGGAGCATCTTGGACTTTCCCCAGATCTTCCACATGCCTCTGTGGACTTTTTGGCGTCTCTCGGCTTTCGGTACTCTTGGGGTTTCTAAGACCACATGCGGACCCTCGTGGGCCCTCTTAGGATGCCTTGGGCCGTATCGGCATCCTGTTTGGTTCCTTTTGTCCCCTCTTGGAGCTATATTTGCCCTCGTGGGCGTCTTGGGACCCCATCGGGGCGTTCTTGGACTCTCTTGGGCTATGGTGGGGTCGTCTTGGGACCGCCTTAGGTTCGTCTTGGGACCTTTTTGGGCTCCTTGGGGCAGTCCTTGGCTACCTTTGGACGCTCTTTGGGCACGCTTGGCGCTCTTTTGCGCACTCTTTGACCCTATGCGTCGACCCCATCACACCCCCCTGGTAGGAGCTCACCCAAACGCGTTCCGCGTCGTGAGATTGGGGTTCTCCTGGGCCGCCCTAGGAGCCTGCTGGGGCCGTCTTGGAGACGTCTTGTGGGCCTCTTGAGCGGTCTTGGGGACCTCTTGGGCTCCTCTGGGCTGTCTTGGAAGCCTCCTGGGGCCATAGCGGGGCCATATCAGGCCAAACTTCGGCGCCTTGAGGCTCTCTTGGGCCGTCTTGAACTCCTCCAATATTCGGGCTCTCTCGGGCTGTCTGTGGCGCCTCCTGCGGTTCTTTTGTGCGCCTTTCAAACCGTCTCGAAAAAACATTAGGTGCCCCTTGGGGAGTTGGACGCGAGGAGCAGCAAGACCGGTAAGATCGTTCCAACACCCAGGGAATAGGCAATGCCACACATCGGCATGCACATGCACGTGCGAGTGCCATAGGGGAACAAAAAAAGACATAAACATAAAAACTCGGAGGTCCGCGCGGATTTCTCGGATCGGCGCTGGGCCCCCTCCCTGGCGCGCGGAGCGCGCCAGGGGCGGCGCCGGAGGCGCCGCCGGGGGGCCCCAGCGCCGATCCGAGAAATCCGCGCGGACCTCCGAGTTTTTATGTTTATGTCACTTTTTGTTCCCCTAGACCAGGGGGCCTCTGGAGCAGCTTATCGTCGTCTCCGAGCGCCTGGCCAGCCCCTGTGCGCAAAAGCTGCCCTCCCCGGGCCAGCCGCAGCGCCTCGAGCCGCGCACGGTGCCCCGCGGGCCGCCCGAGGCAGCCCGGAGCCTCCATAGGCACCGCTGTCGCGGTCGCCTCGTCCTCCGCTCTCGCTCCCCTCCTCCTCCTCCTCCTCCTCCTCTCCCCCGCCTCCTCTCCTCCTCCTCCTCCTCGTCCTCCTCCCCCGCCTCCTCCTCCTCCTCCTCCTCCCCCGCCTCCTCCTCCTCCTCCTCCTCCTCCTCCTCCTCCTCCTCCTCCTCCTCCTCCCGCCCCATACCGCCAGCCTGCCCGGACATCCGCCACCGCGCCTGGTGACCCTGAGATCCGACGTAGCGAAAAAAAACAGCATCGTGTAAAAATCACGCCCGGAGCCCAAGACCCCATCTTTGCGTCGAATTTTCGACCCGGATCGCTCTGCGAGGGCCCCTGGCCAGGAAAAAAACGCAAACGCCCAGCTCGACAAAGGTGAGACGCCAGGATCTCAAGGGCGCGGTAAAGCGTGTTCGAACGCTCCTCTGCGGGCCTCCTTCCTCCCCCCGCCTCCGCGGCCGCCCTCTGCGATTCCCCTCCGAGCTTTCGGGGGCGGCCAAAGAGGGGGGCGTCCAAGAGGGGGGGGGGGTCGCAACTCATGGCCGGCGGCATGCGCGCGGCCCAGGGGGAAGCGGGCAGGGACGCAATGAGATGAGACGAGGCGCCGCGAAATCTGGGAGACATCATGGCCCCCGCCATGAGGTCCACCCCTCCTAGTCTTCGGTCGGGCATGTCCTTCCGACAGGCGGATTCTAAACGACAAATACAAGACAAATGCAAAACAAAATCGTCCCCTGGCTGTTGCTTCACTATTTTGAATATTCCCCCTGCAGGGGCACAGGTCCGACTTAACCCTTGTCCTCACCCCCCTCTTGGCCGCCCCCGCCGAGCTTGCGCCCCGCTCCCATGTGCGCCCCGCCTGGGACCGACCCGCGCGCCAGCGTCCGCCGGCGCCGCCCGTGCACGGGGGTCGCCTGCGTCCGCCTGCGCTCCTCTGCCTCGCATTCGGTCGGGTGTGTCCTCCTACAGGCAGATTTTGGGCGAACCCTAACACATACTCGACAAATATATAACAATAGGCAAACATAGTCAACAAAATCGTCCCCACTATGCTTTTTGACTCAAGCAATCGTCCCCACTGAACTTATTATCATTACTATTATTGACAGTATTATTATTATTGTTGTTATTCTGAATATTATTATTGTTGTTAGTAATACGATTATTCTTACTATTATTCGGCGTTTCGACATTCGGCGGAAGCGGGGGGAGGGGGTCTGGTCCTGGACCTCTGCTTGAAGGTGTCTGTTTGGGACCGTGCGTCCTGTGGGGGAGGGACCCCATTTGCCTGCCTGAAACACGCGCCCAAGACAGGCCAGATCTACTCCATGGGGGGGAGGGGGGGGTGCGTGGGCCCGCGCCGATCGGCAAAACAATGAATCAAAAACGATCACGTTCGGCGCTCGGTTTGCTCTCCTGACGGCGCCAAGACAACTCAGAAGATCCACGATGGTTTCAAGGTGCCTCCGAACCGGTCAAGGTGCCTCGAAGACAACCTCGGATTGCCCCCAGGAAGGCCAACAACAGTCGACAATAATCAGAAAGAACGCCCCCAGAGCATGTTTGGACTACTTCTTTGCACATCTCTCCTGTGGAGGGACGGGCCCGACTTCTTATGCTCGTGCCCGAGTCCTCTGCTGTTTCTTTGGGGCCGCCCGTCGCCCTCTGGACATTGTGGACGAATTATAAAAGACTGTCGAGAAGGTCAAGAGGCCCCCGATGCAGCTGCAGAGGGCTCCAAGTTGCCCTCCAGGCGAGCCCGGAGAAACCAACTACCTTAACTTCCAATGGGAAGTTCGATGTTTTTCGCGTTCCCGCCATTTCGGGCTTCCGGCAGCCCAAAGCGGCCCCAGAGGCCACCAAGACGGCCGAGAGGGCCCCAAGAGGATTCAAGAGGCCCCCAAGGCTGTCCGAAGAGAGCCCCCCCTTCGGCCCAAGCGACCTCTAAGCGAGCCCGAAACCGCTCCAAGAGGGTCCAAGACAACCCAGAGAGGCCCCAAATGCGGCCTCCGAATGCGTCACACGGACCAAGAGAGCCCGCAGACGGCCCAAGAAGCCCCCGATCCAGCCCTACAAGGCTTCAAGACGTCCTCCGTGAGGCCCGAAGAAGCCAAACTGAAGTTGTCATATCCGTTCCCGCCTGTTCGGGCTTCCGACAGCCCAAGACGGCTCCAGGAGGTCTCCCAGACGGCCAGCGAGGCCCCCAAGGCAGCCCAAAAGGTCCCGAGAGGCCCCCAAAGCTTCCCGAAGATGGTCCCAGGACGGCCCAAGCGACCCCCGGGCGAACCCGAAACCGCTCCAATAGGGAAACCGATCCAATAGGGAGTCCAACCGGGCCTCTGGAGCCCTAATACGGCTCCAGAGGCCCCCGATCCAGCCTCAGTGGGCTCCAAGAGACCCTCCATGAGGCCCTGAGAAGCCAAACTCACTGATGCCCCATCTGTATTTCAACGTCTTTCGCATTCGGCCTTCCGATACCAAAACAGTTCCAGGAGGCCTCCCAGATTGCCCAAGTGAATTCCACGACGGCCCACTACGTCCTCACTATGGCCTCAAGGAGGCCCCGAGACGACCCAAAGGGCCCACAAAGATGGCCTCCGAGGGCGTCAGACGGCGAACAGAGCCCTAAGACGGCTTCGGAACATGCCTAACTAACTACCTACCTACATTCATACATACACGTTTGTACATACACGTATGCGGTTCACCACTCGATGATTGCCTGGTGCTTTTTCGCCGAGTATGAGATGGGAATTGTTACGGTGTCCTAAGGTCCTAGAGGATATCGGATATTGAAAACTTGGCCTGTGCATCTTCTTCTGAAAAGCGCATCGAACCAGACTCAAAGAGGCCAGCCCGCCAGAGCTAGATGCCAGTCTGCCAGGAGAGAGCGGAGATGCCCCCCCCTGAGGGGAACGACCCGGGGGGACCCGCTCAGGGGGGAAGCATCGACCTGGAGCCGGCGATGCATCGCCCATGGATCGGCGACAGGTTCCGGATAGCGAGCCCGCACGAACACTGGCGGGGTGGGCTACGGGGCCCACATCGGCGATGAATTGGTGATTGGGGGTCGACGCGCCCCCCGCAGAGCTCATCCCCCCTATCGTTGCCCTGGACCTACACGGCAGAACACCGTTCGCAGGCGTCTCGCCTCACTGCCCGCCGGCGCGGTGCTCACGACCGTATTCTCCGCGCAAACTCGAAAGCCTGCAGGGCGAACGCGAGCACACCGACCAACGTGGCGAGGAAGAGGACGAGGCCCACCGGAACCCCGATGCTCTTCGAGTGGAGCCTGCCGAAGATGAGGTGGTATATCTTGCGCGGCCACACCTTCGGGGGATGAGGGCAGAGCGGGCCAGGAGCACCGCGCCTCTAGACAAACTCGCTCCACTGCTCGCAACTGGCCAGGATCCACTGCATCGATGCAAGCAGGCCCCTTCGGGGAATCGATAGACGTTCTGTTCTGGGAGAATGGCCCCAAAACTCTCGAACGTCCAAGCACTGTTGGGAGAAAATGTAGCTATACGAGTGGCGGGTTCCCGAGACCGTGAACCCCAAAAACGTGTTCGTGTCTTGGGGGCGCACCTTCTACTTCCGCCGCCTTCCGCCGAGGTTCTGCTCGCTCTGCCGGCGGGTGCGGCCTCGTTTTGCTTCCGCCGACCTTCTGCCAGATGGCAGCTCCTTCCATCCTCGAAGGCAGGGCCCTTTTTGGAACGCCCCGTGTATATATGTGTGCGCAGGTTCTGTCGCCCGAGCACCAGGCATATCAGTGTTCCGAAGCAGCTGCCGAAGAGCGCGATCACGTCCGCGATGGCCTCGCACCCCGAGGGCTGGGGGTCCCAGGAGAAGCCAACACGGACCATCCAGAGGCCAGACAATTATCGCATCGGCCGACTCTGGAGCACGCTGGCTCAAGAGCTCTGGAAGGCATGAGGCATGCGGGGTACATCATGAAATGGGCGAGAAGAGAGGGGCGGGGAGGAGGAGGAGGAGGAGGAGATCAAAGAGGAGGAGGAGGACGAAGAGGAGGAGGAGGAGGAGGAGGGAGAAGGGAAGCAGGAAGAGGAGGATAAGGAGGAGGAGGAAGAGAGGGGAAGAGGAGATGGAAGAGGAGGAGGAGGACCAGGAGAAGCAAGAGGGAGAGGAGGCGGAAGAGGAGGAGGGAAATGCGGCTCTCCCGATCACTGGACCCCCCGATGCGACATCGCGGCGAATATCGTTCTGCACCTCCCTTGCTGCTGCTCGCAGACATCCGACGTTTCGATGCTTCTATTCGGGGTCCCAGGATGTCTCCACCCTTTCCGCAGGGCCAAGACTTTCCACCCTTTCCCAGGACGTCTCCAGCCTTTCCAAGGATGTCTCCACCCTCTCATCCCCATCCTTTGTCTGACCGTCCCGAGGCCCGGCGAGGGCCCCAAGGGGGCCGAAAACACAGCCGACAACCATCCACCGTGCTTTTCTCACGACGCAAGCATGTCCAGGTTCGTCCCTGGAGGCTCTGCCCGGCTGCTCTGCAGGGCGCCCCCGTGGCCCTCCCGGCATAGCCGGCCGACCGACCGCGGGTGGCCTCGCACCAGACCGCCACCGCGGTGCACACGCCGAGCACCGTGACGATGATGGCCACGTGGCGGGCCATGCCTCGGGGCTGCAAGGCCGCCAGGCTCCGCCCCCTCCCCAGACCTCCTCGAGGCGTGGGCAAGACTCGGCGGAGGTTTTTGCACACGATGCGGCCTCCGCACGGGCTCTCTCTCGGCCCCGGGACCGTCTAGAACCCTCTCGGGAGGAGAGGCCGCTTCGGGGGAAGAGGCCTAAACCTCCACGGGTCCACAGTGCGAGCAAAATGCACGTCGTCGGAGGTCTGGGTGCTCCTCCTCCTTCAGCCCTCGAGGGTCGGGAGGCGGGCTTCTCTGGCAGTTGTCCGCGCTATCTGGGCCTCCCGGAGACTTCCCGTCTTCACGTCTGGTGCAAAAGCGCACGTCTGGATATGTCAGGGGGTCGAGGCGGAGCACTCGCCGCCGCCAGCAAGTTCGCAACAGTATCGCAGATGGAGGGCGGGCGCCTTTCAAAATGTGACGCTCGCTTTCGCGCCGCGCGCACTCGTCCAAAGTACTGGCCAGAGTTGACAGATTGAGGGCGGGCTGCTTTCAAAATGTGACTCTCGCCGTAGCGCTGCGCACGCTCGTCTAAAACCTTTTTGCCAGAGTTTGGCGGCGGCTCGAGGGCGGGCCGTTTTTAACATGTGGCTCTTGTCTTAGGGTCGCGCGCACTCACCTTAAACAGATGCACGAGTTTCGCGGATTGCGGGCGGGCCTTTTTCATACCATGGCCCTCGCCTGCACGCCGCGCACACTCGCATCAAACATCTGCCAGGGTTCGACGAGTTGAAGGCGGGCCGTTGTCAAAATGTTGCTCTCGGTTCAGCGCCGCGCGCCCTCGTCTTAAACATTTTACAGAGATTGACGGGTTGAGGGCGGGCAACTTTCAGAATGTGGCTCTCGCCTACGCGCCGCACGCACTCGTCCTAAACATGTGCAAAGGCTTCACCGATTGAGAGCGCCGGTTTTTCTACATGTGGTTTTCGCCTTAGCGTTGTTCGCATTTGTCTCAAAGGCTTGCAATATTCTCACGGGTTCCGATCGTCAGCGAACCAAAAGTACGTCTCGGAGCGATTCAGGATTGTCAGGGCGCAACAGTTACGTTGAATTTCAGTGCTGGCGGCCCGAGAATGGGGTTTTGGCCATATCCAGGATCACCAACGCGCAACTCTCAGGTTGACTCGCGCCGTTGGGGTCCCGAAAATTTTGTTCTGACACGCTTCATGATGTGGCAACGATTGTCCCTTAGCGGGGCACTTCCCCAAATGGAAATGTTCCTGTAGAGGCTTGGAGGGAGGGTTTGTTCCAGCACCGTTTGCAAATTGGAGGGAGGTTGGGGGGGATTGGAATGAGCTCGGCTTGTTCAAACATCGTTGATGAGTCTTGGGTTTGCACTGGTCCTCCTCCTCCTCTTGCACTCCCTCCTGGTTCCTGGTTCTGGATGGAATGTGAATGCTCGGAATGCAGCCCTCCGCCCCCCCAGAGCCGGTCGGCCCTGGAGAGGTTGATCAAACTAAGGCCATCCGACCTCTGGAACACCACTCCAGGAGCCGCCGGCTGCTGGGAAACAAATGTGTATAGAAAAGGGGCCCCGGCAGGCAGACAGAAAAAGGGAAGGAGGAGGAGGAGGTAGATGAAGAGGAGGAGGATGAGGAGGAGGAGGAGGAGGATAAATACCATCACGAGGATGGCGAAAGACAGGGATATGTTGGGGCGGCGGACACCGCGGAGGTGCAAATGGCGGCAGTTGGGACGAGACGGCTGCTGGAAGAGGCCTGACGCGCTGCAGGGGCGGCGAGTTGATGGGCGCTGGTAGCGTCCAGCCTAGACACCTTTTCGAGGAGGCGGGCACCTGCAAGGGCGTGCAAGGAGCAGGCGGTGGCCGCGGGGGGCGCGGGGGGAAATCGCCCTCGCGCGAGGTGGACTCGGTTCCGGCGCGTAGTCCCCCCGCGCCCCCCCCCCCCCCACCGCTAGTTGGATTTGAAAGCAAACCCGCTGAGGTGCTCGAAACTTGTCGGCAACCAGGTGCAGAGGTAAGGCGAGGAGGAAAGTATACAGGAGGAGGATGCGGCTGCGGCTAGCACCGCGCAGCCTGAGGCGGCGTAGCTGCGTGGCCAAGGTGAAAAAGCCCCCCCTCGGCATTTTAGGAACCCCCGCCTGTCGCCCACGGATTCAGCGACGGGGGCCCTCACCTGCAAGCAGGCGAATGGTTCCCGAGTGATGGACTGGTGGCCGCCGTTTGTTGGTTCCACTGGGCGCGGGGGAGGTTCGCGCCTTCCGTTGCGCTGCGCGGCTGGAATGTGGGGTGAGCAGGTGTTGGGGGCTCGCGGCCGCCCCGGCCCTCATCGGGAAGGCCGGCGGTGATGCGTCATCCCCGCCCCCGCGCCCCATGGGAGACGTCGCCCGACCCCCCCTCTCCGCCGCCGCGCAAACGGGGGAGGGAAGGCTAGAAGGGGAAAAATAAATAATGCTAGCAAATGGGGGTTAAAACTTGGCAAGGGCCGTAGAGACAGCGAACGGGAGGTCCCTCGCGCTGCTACCCCCCAAGCCCCAGCTCGAAGCTGGCGATCCAGGTCCCCGCCAAGAGGGCGCATGAAGGCACTCTATCCAGGTATGCGTAGCATTCGCAGTCGCAGCGCGTCGTCCGAGGTAGCACCCGTGGTTGAGAAAGCCCCTGGGGGCCCGCTGCGTAGTATAGTACTTTGTACCTGTGCTCGCCGTAGCGCTGTGCTGAGCGATGCTTAGAGCACGCGGCGAAAGGGGCCGTCGCCTCGGAACTGTGGGGAACTATGGGTAGGAAGTCGGAGAGGTTGGCAACCTGTGCGGCCCAGCTATTATGCTGCAGGAGTGCCCCAGTGCATGCGACAATTTGGCAGCGGGACAACGCAGAGATCTGCAAGTGGGGGGGGGGGCAACTGTTCGCGGCTGGAAGGACGCGCGACGCGATCATGGGCCGACGTCAGTCCGGTCACCTCGTGAGGCGCAAGACGTGCTGGTCGTGAGTCCCCCGATTCGCCAGGGCGTTGAACTCGTCGAGCTTAGACGAGCGCGTTCTATTACTCGCAAAGTAACTACTCGCACATGGCCTGGATCCGCCGCGGGGGACCTGCGATATATTGCATCAAAGCAGGCATGTGTGTGTTTGCGGACGTTTGCAAGTTGGCACGCTGCGAGTAGTGGAACGCGCCCGGTGAGAGCTGGCGTGCAGTGTCGAGCGGAGGTCGCGGTTGCCACGCTGTCTGCTCCGAGCGCGGCGTCTGCGTCGACGGCGCCGGCCTCCTGCGAGGAGCGCTGGCCCATGGCGTGGCCCGGCCCTGCTCTCTCGAGGCGGTCGGCGCGCCCTGCATCCCTTGGGGGGGTGGCTACAGTCGGCCTCTATTTGACAGGACGCGCGGGAGGACACAAGACCCTTCCGAGGGCCATGTCGCCATCGGAGTGGAAGAAGTCACGCGTCGCCATAGGGTACCCTTTAGCTGGCAGGGTCGACCTACTAATCCGGGCCGACTGTAGCGGGGTCGATGTCGTCGGCGGGCATCGCGACGCTGAAGTCGGCGATCATCGCGCCGTCTGGCGCTGGAGCCTGCCGCTGGTCGTTTGGCGCGGTTGCCAGCCATCGGCGCGTTTCGGTTGTCGAGCGCTGATGCGAGTAGCGGCCGGGGTCTGCTGCGAGGCGGTCGAGCCCGTTGGTGGCGTCGCCCATGCGCAGTGCCTCCTGCCCTCGGGGCGGTGGCAGTGTAGGTGGTGAGCCTCGGTGCACAGGTTCACTGGATGAGTCGCTGTTGGCCCGTGATCGGTGGGTCGCGGGCGCGCGGTTGTCCGTCGAAGCGGTTGCTGCCCACGGTCCTTGATTGCCGTCCCCGCCGCGGGCCGTCGCCCAGCCGACGGGGTTGCCAGGCGGGCCCCCCCCCTCGGCCTCGATTGGCTTGTCGATGTCGTTAATGGCGAGGGGTTGCAGCGCCTGCCCAGCTTGATGCGCATGAAAAGGCCGCGGCGCTGCTGGGCGAGGTCGGCTGGCGTCGGCGGGTCGTCGCAGTCATCGGCGATCGGGTGCGCGACAGCCGTCTCGAGCTGGCGGTTGGCGAACTGGGCCAGGACGGGCTGGTCGCGGGTTCTCCTGAACAGTCGAGCTTCTTGAAGCCCGTCCCGGGGGAAGTAGTTTTTGAAGGACGCCTCGACGCAAGTTGCCAGGATGCGCTATTCGTGCCTCATTTCGGCGTGAGGATCTGGGTCCTCGTCGCCGGTCGTCTCGGGGTTGCTGGTGCCCGCGGAATGCTCTGGGGTCATCATGTTGACGTAGTCAACAAGGAGGTGGGCGTCTCGCTTGTGGCGCGCGCAGCTGATGGCGTCGGTCGCGCAGCGGGGTCCAGCTGTCGCTCGCCGCTGGGCGACCCTGATGTCAGTCCCGCATGTACTTGCTGAATGAGTGTGGTGGCCTGCTCGCATTGCGCCCCCGCGTGGTGCCTCGTCAATGCCTCGGCGTTGATGGGCGCCAGCTTGTCGGGCACATCCGTCGGGTGCACGTTGCTGCTGGTCGGTGTCTTGGGCTCGTTGCGCGGCTGCGGAGGCGTCTTAGGCGGAAGCTTGGATGGGACTTCGTCTCGCGATGGTGGGGTCGCAGTGGGTCGGCGCCCCCGGGCCCGGGGCGCCTGTCGTCAGACTGCCGGCGGGGCCCTGGCAGCGCAGCTGCCGCTGCTTGACCTTCGCCCCCTTTGGGGCGGCGCCTTATGGGGCTGCTTCCATGCGCGGGTCCGCGGCTTGTGAGCTGCCGTGGGGCTGGTCGTGCACCGCCCAGTGGTCATTGGCGGTCGGGCTGTCAGCTTGCGTGGAGCTGCTTGCCGAGGCCGCAGTCAGCTGGTCGCTCGCGCGGTGACTTGCTGTTTGAATCCCCGCGATGAGCATCGCTGCCCCCTGTCGGGCGACGAGGGCGCCGGCCTGGTTGTTGACGAGGAGGTTCGTGAGACGGGCACGGGGCCCGGCGGCTTCCACGCGGGCGACCATGCGGTCGCCCTTGAACTCGCGGCCAGCGCGGTACTTCAGGATGCTGTCGTCTGGGTTTGATGCGTTCGCCTAGAGAGGCCTTGCTTGCGGCGGTGGCGGCCGCGCCAGAGGCCGAGGTGGTAGCTGCCCCCTGGCCCCCTGCTGCTACGGGTAGGTTTCGGATGACGCCGTGGCTGGCGACGTGGAACCGTTCCGAGATGCGATGCATAGAAGAACGTTGCCTGGGTCGTCCCATTCGGACCCCTGGGTCTCGTCGCTGTAATCGTCCCATTCGGACCCCTGGGTCTCGTCGCTGTAATCGTATATCTGAGCATTCCATTCCACTGAATTCCACTCTGGGCATGCAAACCACGGCCTCAGCATCAGCAGCTGGCGCCGGGGAGCCAATGGCAAGCAAGGTGCGAGGATGGCCTGTCTCGGCGCCTGTGCTAGCGCATGCTCGTTCAAGGTCGAGGTCGGCGGGTGTACTGGTGGAGGCGGGCAATGCGGTGGTAGAGGTTCGCTGTGAGCATTGCTGTTGTGGTTCGCGTTGACGGTTAAGGCTCGTTTCGCCTTCGTGGGATGTCGGATGTTGGAAGGAGTTTGGCGCAAGCGTTCCCTCCGCACTGGCTGCGCGCTGCGCGTGTGAGCGATGATGTCGCGCGCGGAAGTTCGCTTGGCGAAACCAAATAAATCCCGCATGGCCTCGAACTCGTCATTGATGTCTTTGCAGCAAGTGGTTCCTCATCTCGATGAGCATTTAGTTGCCTTCTCGGTGGAGATCGGGGCTGAGGTGACACAGGTGGTTGTGGATGTCGCTCGCCGTTGTGTGCATGCAGCAGACTGCGCGGATGCTGGCTGGCTCCGACCAAGTCGCTGCCTCTGGAGGTCGCGGCCTTCCAATGATGGCGGCCTCGTGGGGCGGCGTCACGTTGGCGGCGGTATGGCGCCCCTCATGGTGGTCCTGATATGCAGCGTTAGATGGGGGACTCCAACTCGTGCATGTAATGCTGTGTCGTTGAGGGTTGCGACTGGAGGGCGTTCCCAATCGAAACTCGCATCGCTCATGGATCTCATTGAAGCGTATGATGGGGGCCCTGTACTCTGCCTTGTAGCTCTGGAAATCGGTGGGCTCCTCGTCGGTTCCTTCGATCGAAGGGACGAGGTCGTCGTTGGAGTCTCCTTCCGCTGCGTAGAGCCCCGCTCGGGTCTGACGAGTCTGGTGGTAGTTGTTTGCTCGAACATGAGGTTCTCGCTGTGGGGTGTATCGCTATTGCTCCCTTGTGTGTCAGGGTGTCGGTGAGGTAGAGGAGCGGTAATGCTTCGTTCGGTTCCTGGAGGTCGCCTTTCGCGTCCGTTGCGTGCAGAAAGTAAGAGACACCGTGGCTCTTGGAATGGGTTGCTTTATGTTCTGCCTCTGGTAAATCAGTAAGCACGCTTGTGGACGTGGGCGGTGCGGGCCTTTGGATCTGCTCGATCTTGGGTAGCCCTGTACCGTGTGGCATTTGTGGGGGATCATGCCAGTCTCGGCAAACTCTGTTGTCCGTGTCCACGGTCGTGCTGCGATGAGAGGTTGTCGCTCCGTGTCGCGTGCGTTGCTGTCGACCTGTGCTCTGGTCTACACAACGGTGCGGTAGTGAGGTGTGTGGGTCGGTCTTGCTATGTAGTGGCCGTCCATGAACTCGATCCTGGGGGCCGTGCAGCTCCTGTCGAAAATGCTGCGGATCGATTCGGTGAATTTGCCTGATGTGTTCCTCTTCCGCCCGTGGTTGGTCGCACCCAGGTGCGCGATCGTGAACTGGGGCAGTTCAGGCGTTTTCATGTCATCCATCCTCTGGACGTGTTTGTGGGCACGTCAAGTGGTCCGAGCTCCAAGGCGACGTCCGTGTAGTCCTTGCCCAATGTGTCTGACTCGAATCCTTCTTGCGACCTGTCGGGTGCTCTTGCAGCGGGTTGAACAAATCGTGGGTCCAGCTGGGTGTCCTCGGGAGGGATGTGGTCGAATAGCTCCACTCCGGGTCAGATGCTTTGCCCATGTAGGGCTCGCGGCTGTCGGTGCGATGCCTGGTCGCCCATGCTGCTCCAGCTGTTGTACGTGTTCGGCGCGTTGGGCGATGCAATCCTCCTAATCATTCTCCTCCTCCACCTCCTCCTCCTGTTTCTCCTCCTCCTCCTCCTCCTCCTCCTGCTCCTCCTCCTCCTCCTCCCCTCCTCCTCCTCCTCCTCCTCCTCCTCCTCCTCCCCTTCTCCGCCTCCGTTTCCTCCTCATCTTGCTTCTCTTCCTCCTCCTCCTCCTCCTCCTCCTTCCCCTTGCTCGCCCTGCCCCCTCTGCCCCTCGACCCTGCACCTTCCGAACCTTCCGCGCGAACAGTGCCGCTGGGGCGGCCTCGACGGTGACCGCCGCTGCGGCGGCGGCCGCGGCTGCGCGGCACCTGCCGCGCGGAAGATGCAGGAGGAGGAGGAGGAGGAGGAGGGGGGAGGAGGGAGGAGGGGAGGAGCAGATGGAGGAGGAGAAGGAGGAGGAGAAGGCGGAGAGGAGGAAAAGGATCCGGAGGAGGAGGAGGAGGAGGAGGAGGGAGGAGGAGGAGGAGGAGGAGGAGGAGGAGGGGGAGGAGGAGGAGGAGTAGGAGGAGGAGGAGGAGGAGGAGGAGGAGGGGGAGGAGGAGGATGGGGAAGGTGACAACCTAGAGGAAAAAGGGCCAAATCTTGCAGGTGCCCCGCCGTCGTGTCGCATAAGGGCTTCGGCACGCCACCGCCACGCCCTGCCCTGGCCAGGCACGGCGGTGGTGCACAGAGGTGCCCTTTGCGGAGCTTCTGGCCGCACCCTGAGCGCCCAAGAGGCCGCCGCCGCCGCCGGGCGCCAGGCTGCTGCTGCTGGCGTTGCGGTCCCGAGCGCCGAGGCCTCCGCTGCTACCGCCACCGTCCTGCCGTGTGGCCTGCTGACTGCTGCCGGTCGTCACGGCCGCCAGGGACGGCAGGTAGGTCGCCAGCGCGGAGCTCTTCGCGAGGGCCTTCGATCCTCCATCCTCGAGCTCACGTCCATATCCGCGCCCTTGCGGTCAGCATGCCAGGGTGCGATCCCACGGAAGCACGAACCTGTGGATACGTTCCCGCGCGGGGCTTCGGAGCAAAGCCGCCTAGCATCCATGGGGTCGCGGCCGAAGCGTCCAGACTGCGAGGACGTGGATGTGGATACGTTTCCCGCTCGCATCGAAACTCGATCCTCCATCCATGGTCGACATCAGCGACGACGACGAATGCCGACGCCGAGGCGACGGACTTGGCTTCGAAAGGGCGTTTGCCCGCGTTTCCGCTGGCCCCCTTGGAGCTCTCTGCGGACCGTCTCTGGAAGGCCTCCATGGGTGGGCTTTCGAAGAGATCCAGCAGGCCTTCGGAGGCTTTCGCCGCCACGGCTGGACGCGGCTCGGAAGACTGGCCCGGATGGTGCCCCAGGAGGAGCCCAGGGGCCGATACTTATTTTCTTGCTTCCTCCTCCAAGCCCCCAAGCGGAGGAGAAGGAGGACGCCGCTGCCCCTCAAGAGGGGCGATCCCGAACGCACAGCGCGAGCGAGGCCGACCGCAAGGCAGCGGATTCGGCGTGGGGCCGCTTCTGCGCGGATGTCATGGGGCGACCCTGCGCGAGCGGGCGAGGGGCCGGCCTCCATGGATGGGCTCTCGACGAGTTATGGCGGATCTTCGGCTGCTTCCGCCGCCACGGCTGGACACGGCCCGGAAGACTGAAGTGTTTTTGAAGCCGGACTCGGCTTAAAAAACTACGTGTTTTTGGAGCCAGATGCGGATCAAAAAAATGTGTTTTTGTTCAGTCGGATCCGGCTGCAAAAACACGCAGTTTTGCTCAGGCAGACTTGAGTAGCAGCAGGCAGGGAGTAGCTTGCACCCTCTTTTCTCCGCGGCCTTGTGGACCAGGTTTTAAGCCCGGCAGGGGCGACGGTTCCATCTGAACCAAGCCTACGCTTAAGAAAACATCCATCTCAGAGAGGCCCAAAAGACTGGCCAGGATGGGGTCCCAGAATTAGGTCGGGCGTGTCCCCCTACAGGCGGATTTTGGAGGAAAAATATAAGATAGCAGAAAAATGCCCAAACATAGAGTCAAACAATAATGCAAAAAACGTCCCCTGATTATTGTCTGACTATTTTTGAATCTTCCTCCTGTAGAGGGACAAGCCCGACGTAACCCCAGGAGCCCAAGGGCCGATCCTGCGCAAATGTCTGGGAGGGGCAGTCCCCCGGCGCCTGGGCGCCGTGCCACAAGCACCACGGCGGGCCTCTTCGGCCCGCTGCGGGCACTGGCGG